CGGTGAGCGTCGACGGCACGGTAGCAACCTGTCGGCCACCAGGCAAGTAGGGGGGATGGCGGTCGGCGACCTAGGCATCTGCACGCATGGGAGGCATCCATGATGTCTATTTTTTACTGAGAAAAAAACAAAGCGGTGTGGTGGGCGGGGAATGAGCAGCCAGTACTACCCGTATCGGACGGTGCGTGGTCGATCGGCTGGAATTCGGCCGGTCGACCGGCGCCTATCACTCGCCTAAATAAAAATGCTTATTTAAAGCCTAGGGAAAATATTTACAACCCAAATCAAATTTATTAAATCATTATATTTTAGAAAATCTATTATGGATTGTATAATTAATATTTTCCTAAAAATAATTTTTAAGGTTTAAATAATTATCATAATGCCTTTGAAGATCCAAATAATAATTATTTGGAAGAGAAACTCATGTAATTCCCACTCCATTGAAAAATCCAAACAGGCTCTCAAAAGGAACAAGGTCAAACGAAATCAATCAATTCTATTTAATTGGTTAACATTTCAAAAAAAATGATTTTTGTTGGGGGCATGTTGCACTTGCAAGTATTGCTGCCCTACTTGGAATACATGTGGGTTTATCTCCGTTGGAAATTGAGCTTTGAGATGCTGTAACCGAAGAGGACAGCAAAAACGATGGGGAACACCGCTAGAGCCACGGCTGCCAGCGGCAGCAGGTCACGTCGAAAACCATAGTAGTCCTTCATGAACGTTGCGACAGATTTGGTCTCTGCAAATACGACTATCATCCTGTCGTTATAATCCCCGAACTGCGTGGTGAAGAAGACGTTGAGCGACCACGACATTGGGGAGATGTAGTAGAGCCATATCCACCATCTCGGTATTTGCTGCCATATGTTCATGAATCCTTTGTAAGCACAATACTCTTTATATATCTAATAATGATAATCATATGTATATATGTGTATATATATCTAGATGGCTTCTCTTACCGGCGAAGGCACGAGAAAGCCGGAGATGAGGTTTTGTAGGCTGTGGCACACAGCTGTAAGTACAAATGCAAGTTGGATATTAGGGGTGAGCGACACAATCATCATTCCCAGGTAGACGAAGTAGAGCAGCGTGCATGACATGGTGTACATGAACCAGAAGAATTTTGCCGCTGTCCACGCATAACCTATCATCGGATATGCTATCAACATGAACATCACCACCTGCACCATCACATAAGGTATCTCCATGGCAACCTATCTCCAAAAAGGATATAGTAAGTCAATGTCTGTCGCACATATGTAGCAGTAGCATAATCTATCTGAAAAATCTGCATGTGATTAATAGGATAGGACCTGCGCAAAAGAGTAGGCCCAAGGAGAGTACATCCCTGCAAACCTCTCCCTGTACACGACGGAGCGCTCGATTGAGACGAATGGCATCACGGCCTGACAAATGTTGGTGCCGGTGAACATAGTGATTCCATACATGCACCCCAATATGGTGAAGAGGCCTTGCTGGTCGTTTCTACCTCAAACAGAACAAGCAGCAACTTCAATCATATGCTACCACCATATACATGCATAATTAAGAGACAACTTACATACATGTGATTGATGTTGCCTCGCTGCCAGAACAACGCACCAAAGAAAATGCAGAAGCCTAACATGGACGCCAATCGCACCAGGTTGTAGGAAGGGGTTCTCCAATACGACAAACACTGCTTCCAGAGACAAGCTTTGAATTGCTCCCGAAACTTCTGCGGAAACTGTGTCGGGAAATGAAGGTCACTCGTGCCTGGAAATGGTACGCTCAAGCGCTTTACCAGCATGTCCTTGTCCCTTTGATCACCAAATTTGCATAGTGGTTAGCACAAATATTCTGTTAAGATTAGTTTAAGGACTAAATGAGAGCTATGTTAAGCATTAAAGAAACCATGCTTAAGTTCTGTTCTGATCACCAAATTTGCATAGTGATTACTATGCCTATGTCTTCTTCTGATCAAAACTGTTTTTGTATATCTTAGATATTGTGGAAGGCTGGAAGCACAATTTTATCTGCGTAATCTATCGTGTAATGATTATAATTCAGGTGTTAAGCACTATTGCTAACTGACATGATTCATTGAAACTTACTTGCACATTGACGATGCCCTGTACATTTGTACAAAATCTGCTCCCACTTGAGCTTCCATAGATGTAGAAGTAACTTCTAGCATCCATGTTGATGGGTTGTAGTTGTCCTTGATCCTGGGTATCGCAGGTATTGCCTAGAAGAATAAAAAAACAATCACTAGTTTGTATAGCACAACAACTGGGGATAGAAGTGAGGCGGTGAACTGGTGGTGACCTGAGTATACCCTCCTCGAATCAAAATAGGCTACAAATATGATTAATATAGATCACCCCCTTCACGTGGTATGTAAAATGCGAATCTTGAGGGCTAGATAATGGGTTCATAATAATTCATAACTCTTGAATTTTTTGTCCAAAAAGCATAACCTTTGAAAATACAGTAAAAGATGGAAACAAAATATTTTTAGGTTTGTTTACAGTCAATCATAGGCTTAAACTGACCTATATCACATACAACTGGATGATATACAATTACAGAGCATACATGCATTTATTTAGTATTTTTGTGCAAGGCTGAGTTAAACTTAGTAATTACCTGGAAATATTGGATGACCTCACAAGAATGGTGTCCAACTGGCCCAGCATAGATCAACTCTCCACCTCTTCTCATGAGCATCAACTACATTTATATTACAAGATAATTAGTAAATATGGTACTTCAGTTCTAAATGAATAATTTTGGTTGAGGAATTTATGATCAATAAGGTTTACAGTTTAGTTGAATTGGCTGACAATTATACATGCAATTTGTTTCATGGCTGATGGTTAATTTTGTAATCAAGCTTTATAATTTCCGGCTGAGGTAGCAACACTTTGTTAATTCATGTTTGATCGAATCAAAACTGATTTTTGACATACTTATCCAGTATAAACTTATAAATCTATATTCGATTTTTACACCTTAAAAAATTACTTAATACAATATATATTGGTGCCTAGAGAGAGAATCTTGGAGAAGGTCAGCAGGCTATATGTAAAGTAATTACCTCATCAAATGCTTCAAATATATTGATACTTGGTTGGTGAATGGTGCACACGACTGTTCGACCTGTATCTGCAACGTTCTTGACTGCACGCATGACAATAGCAGCTGCCCTTGCATCCAAGCCTGATGTTGGCTCATCCATGAATATGATCGAAGGGTTAGACACAAGCTCGACTGCTATAGTGAGTTGTTTCCGTTGCTCTGTCGACAATCCATTTACCCCTGGTACTCCAACCAAAGAATCTCTAATTTCATCCAGCTCAATTGTTTCAAGAACTTTATTGACAAATTCCTACAAGGGAAAAAGGAATACATATGAGCTCAGAGCTTCATATCTCACTGTTTCTGGTGGCTAGATTACTAGTATGTGTAAAAGTGCATGCTCTAGCCAATGCAACCAAAAGACCGATCTGATGGAAGAGACTAGGCAACACATTGTACGTCAACTACTTTCTTTCCACATATATTGGCATACTGTAGCTTATGTTTCGTTGCAAAAACAAATATAGCTCACATCTCTTGCTTTTGAATCAGTTTCTGGTGGAAGGCGCAACCAAGCTGAATATGCAACTGATTCGCCCACTGTGATTTGTGGGGAATGAACATCAGTCTGTTCACAGTAGCCTGATATCCTAGCAAAAGTTTGCTGAACTTTAGGATAACCCCCTATTCTTATGTCCCCTTCAATAACACCGCCCGTTTTCCTTCCAGCAAGAACATCAAGGAGTGTTGTTTTCCCCGCTCTAGTAACACCCATGAGTGCCGAGAGAACCCCTGGCTGAAATGCTCCTGTGATATTATAGATTAGTTGCAGTTTTCTTTCGGTGTAACCATTCTCCCTCATTTCCTGCGATGAGGAAATACTTATTTATTAGTTACCAGCCCTTGTTATGGCTCTAATTAAGCTCTCTAGTCATGTGTTCATAGATGTTCAAGCTACATGAGAATTACCGCGGGGGTGTCTACGTAGTAGTTGACATCCTGGAAAGATATTGTAAGGGGTGTGAAAGGCAATACCATCCTCCCTGCACATGATTTAATATTGATAAGTCAAATCTTTATTTTATTCCATCAACAGTATGAGTTGTGCTTAGTTGCATCTTTTAAAATTCAACTAACCAGTGCTATTAGGTATCAATGAAGTTTCTGCATGTAAATTAGGCCCCCCATTTTCCGCATCCTTATCTTGGTTTCTTCCACCAAATGCGGTAATCTTATCGCAAGAGATAATAGCACGAGAAGATGCTGGAACCAAGAGGCTCAAAGAAGATTAGAACAGATGGCATGTCTAACAAGAGCAAACATTATGTTCTTTCTGAATTGAAGTATTTTCTCTTCCATTTCCGACGTTATTTTTTCCTCCAGCATATGCTTGATTTAGTTCACATTCATGTTATACTATTAGAAAGAAAGCAAAGTATTTACTTATTCTGCTTATTAGCTTAATGTAATTTAAGCCATGTCACACTTACGGTTTTTAACGGTCAAGATGATGGCAAATCCTACATTGAACAACAAAGTAAAGCCAATCAATGCTCCAATTGAGATCCAGTAGAAGTAGCTGGAGAAGTCTAGACCGTGATCCATTAGTATCCTTCTTCCAAGTGTTACGCCAGATATAGTGATCTATCAACAAAGGAACTTTAGTATCGGTTGGGATTGCATTTTTTTACAAATAATTCATACTTGTTATGCTAAAGTGTACCTCTGACCATCTTGGTGCCAAAAACTCATTTCCAGTTAGGCCTATCTCCGCGTAAGATAATGGAGATACCCAAAATACCCATTTTAACCAATTAGGTAGAAATGTTGTAGTGATATGACACTGGAAACGTTAGCGGTGCTTGTTTAATAGTTGAGCACGACATGCGTTTGCAAGAACTTAGGACTCGTCACTTGTTAGCAATATGAAGCTTAAATTATGAAAATAAGGGAGTGTCTTACAGCGAGGAATTAAGAAACCCCCAAATAGAAGGGTGACTAGAAATGCCAAAGTACCACCGACAGAACCAGCCACCATTGTTTGACAGTATGAGGCAACACAACGGAACATTGATACGGTTACTGTGTGCATCAGGAAGAGGACGAGGAGCTGACGGAAAAACCTAAACACAAGAATCATGGATGTTAACACAAAGTAAGGATTTGTCTGAAAACCTAGATTTCGTGGAAATGATAAAAAGAGAAGTAAAGATAGTGTTAGATAAGGGAATTTTATGTTTGACTTTAGAACACCAGATCACTGCAAAAACCAGTATAAATTATAAACAATGCTTTACTTTGCACTTCTTTCATTTGCAGGTTTTGTTTTTCACTTGGGTGATTACACTTCACATCTAAATGACTCAGAATGTATCAATAATGATATATAATTCCTGAATGATGACAACAAATTTTGTTGTAGTTTAAATAGTGATTCCTTGCCAGCAGCTAATTAGTTTCCACAACAGAATTGTGACTTTACCTGGATGCTTCTGGGGTATAGCCAATCAAGTAGTAGGATATCGATGTCAAAGCTACCGACCCAACTAAAGAGAATGGAACCTTTAGGATAAAAGATTGTATTGCATAAGCCCACGCAGGATAGAAGTAGTTGTCTCTATGTTTGTAGAAGACTGGCAGTCTGTCGATTGCCATGGCTAGGTCAGGGAATCCATTCACTATCATCAGCATGAGTGCATAGAAGAGCGAACCCAAATAATAGTTGGCATGAATTCTGTCAACACCCATACGTGTCCGTAGAAATACTGTCCCAATAATAAGACCAAATACTCCAAGCTGCAGCAAGAACACGTAGTATATGCTAGTTAATGGTGGTTAGGTGGTCATGTCAAGAAAAGTAGAACATTATGACATAGTTGTAATTACGTTGATTTTTATAGTGAAAACTGCAAGAAATAATTTAAGAAAAAAACAATATAGTTGTCGCACTATAGTAAAGGTAATGATAGAAGCGCACGAGCATTTGAATTCCTCAAATTGCACATTGAGTAGGAACTGAATGTAGAATAAGATGCTGACATGCTGGGCAAGTTCCTGCTGTAGACTTTTATATGGTCTGAGAGTTCAATGTTCTCTGTCTGTAGAAGAAACTACTGCAAATATGGCTACAAGCTCATGTACCCTGTGTTAAGCACATACAGCCCCTAATCCTACAATATTTCTCATCTGAGCACACCTAAAGCTATATATGACATCAATATCTCCCTTTATTTTCTGTTATATGTATTAAGTTGACTTGAAAGCTGAAAGTGACACAAAATGCGGATGTAAGTATAGCTTACAGTTTTTAGTGCAAAGGCTTCATTGGTTCAAGGGAATCCCATAGGATTTTTGGAGGATTTGGATCCTTAGTAATTTTTCCTACAGAGGTTGTTTGATTCGTAGGATTGGAATCCTTAGTAATTTTCCATAGGTTCATTTGTACTACGTTTATTAGTGGAAAATTTCCGTCCACTCAAACCTCTTGGTAGAATTCACTATCAAAACCTCTTTCATCCACATTCCTATAGTTCTGTAATCCTGTAGGATACAATAGGACATGACACTTTATTCCTGTGTTTTTACTATTCCTGCGTTTCGAGAATCCTGTGAATCAAAGTGCCCCTAAAACAGGAACTTTATTACACCACATGGCTTATAGTTTTTGCTATATTTCTATCCATAACTAATACTACTAAGTATAAGGCATGTAATATGAGGATTGTGCATACAGACTAGAACTCAATTTACACTCATAAACACTTAGCATGTGACATTCGAGATAGCACTGTAAAACTAGGCAAAAATCTCCATGTATCAGTCACATCTTTTTCCCGATAGATAGCTTCGACTTGCTTACCTGAGCGGCTTTTGTTATGTGGATGAAGGCATTCCTTTTCATAAGAAGGAGCTCGCGTGCAAAACATGCCTTGAGGAGATCCCACTTGGATAATGAGCAGATACTGAAGGACAGTGCATTCTTATGTCCTTTTGATTCATCATACGGCTTTGAAAGCTCCTCGGCAAGATCCTGACCAGTTTGGGATGCTTTGAACTTATCACAGAATTGGTCAACTGTAACAAAATTATATCTTTCTTCGGTGCGGCTCCAGTATTGTTGTTGATCCTTTTTTGACAAGACCTATGTATATATAAGTTTTTAAGAGTGGACTACTTCATGATGGTAAGAAAGAGTACAAACAAGCAACATAAACTCAGGTTATCATAATCTATACCAAATTACTTTATATTAACAATGTTTACTTTCACTGAATGCACACCCAATATAGTAGTTGTAACTCATACTTCATTCAAATGTTGAAACGCAAAATTCTGTACAAGAGAATTGCTATATAAGAAAATCAAAGTATGTAAATTACTCCCTCCGATCAAAAATAAGTGTCGCTGTTTTGAACTAAGGTTAGTTCAACCTGAGTTCAAAACCGGGACACTTATTATGAATCAGAGGGAGTAGTATTTTTCTCAATACCTCTTGAAGGAAGTCGGCGCATCCTTTTCTTTCTGGGCACTTGAAGCCACATGATTCAAAGAAACTCATAATGCAGCTCTTAGGGCCATGGTATATAATTTGTCCTTCAGCCATCAATATAATATCGTCAAAAAGTTCGTAGGTCTCTGGTGCTGGTTGAAGG